GCAGGCTCACATTGCAGCTACCAGCTCAGCCTGTTGGTTGGTGGTATTTACAGGCAGGAGATTGGCTTCTATTACTCATTATAGGGACACTATGGCATATCCAGCTTTTCTGATCCCCTCATGCATAAAGGAGCTACCATCAGTGAACTGGGCATAATCAGATTGGTCTAGAGGTTCCCTCAGTGATATTAGTTGGGCATGGGAGGAAGTTTTCTAGAATTTCCCTGCATTTATGTATTGGGGATTGTGTTTGACCTTGAGCCTGAGTGGGTAACAGAGTTGCTGGGTTGAGAGGGGCACAGGTTTGGAAGGACACAGAGGAGTTATAGAGGAAAGAGACCAGAGAGAGAGAGAGAGAGAATTTGACAGGGAGGGAAGGTTTGCAGTCCTTTGTACATTAGCAAGTCCTTGAGGTGATAAGGAGAAGTGACAATGATTTGAGCTCCAAAGGTAAGCTTTTGTGATTCTTTTTAATAAAACATAGGAGGCCGCTAGGGTGCAGAGACCAGGAGCTCATCCCCCAGACAGTTGGATCTAATTGTTTTGAGAGGTATGCCACCAGAGCAAAGGTGGGCCCATACATTTGTCCCAGCACCCCCAAGCCTTGCCCTTTGTTTTAATGGACATAGAGAGTAAAAGGTCTATTAATATCTGGCAGGTGTACAGCCAGTGCTTTTAAGAGGACCTTCTGGAGGGTTCTGAAATGTGGTGCTAAATTGGGATCCAGAGACCAACACGTGGGTTAAACATTTTCGTTGTCTAGGGGGTATGTAAGCCAATCCTGGGTACAGAATTTTATGAGCCCTTTTGGTTTAATATCAGGGGCCAGGCTCAGGGTTTTCAAATTATGTTTATGTTCCCCAAAACTCTCTCAGAACCAAGAATGTGGCCCCAGTGTCTACCAAAAAGTTTATGGGATTCCCATCCACTCGGATAACCACCCTGGGTTCCTGCTTGGTGATTGAATAGGTTGGGACAGAAGACCCAGAGCCCTGTCAATCCTCCGCTGCTTGTTTCCTTTTGCTGGATCATATAGTGGTCTGACAAGTAATGAGTAATTTGGTACCCATGCCCTAAAATAGCCTGCCAGACCCAGGAATGAGAGAATCTCCTCCTTAGCTTTTGGTACTGGAAGGCTTTCAATAGGCCTTTTCTATTTGTTGTGATAGCTTTCTTCCCTTGGGAAATGTGGAACCCTAAGTAAACAACCTGAGAGAAAGAGAGAGAGAGAGAGAGAGAGAGAGAGAGAGAGAGAGAGAGAGAGATATGCACTTTTTGCAGAGAAACCCTGTATCCTTGTTGAGCAAGGAAATTCAGGAGGGTGGATGTGTCAGACTTTGAGGTTTCTAATGAGGGACTACAGAGGAGGAGGTCATCAACATATTGTAGGAGGGTTGAGTCAGGTCATAGAGCAAAAAAACCCTCAAGATCTCCAGCGAATACTTGTCCAAAAATATGTGGGCTGTCTCAAAATCCATGGGGCAGGAAAGTCCAGGTTAACTATGTGGAATCTCTAGTTTCTGGATCAGTCCAGGTTAAGTCTTGGGAAGAGACAGATAGTGGAATCAAAAAGAAGGCATCTTTAAGATCAATAACTGAAAAACAGGTGGAGTTTGCAGGAATAAAGGAAAGGATAGTTTAAGGGTTTGGAACCAGGGGACATATGGGCCTGTTTGAAGAATTTATTAACCTTAAGTCCTGCACCAAACGGTATGTTCCATTAGGGTTTCTTTTACTGATAAAATTGGGGTATTGAATGGAGAGTGTGTGGGATGGAGGAATCCTTTTCTTAGTAAGCTCTGAATGATTGGCTTTAGGCCCTTAAGACTGGCCATCGACAGTGGGTATTGGGCCTGGTTTGGGAAGTGGTTAGGGTCTTTAAGATGCACTTCCATGGGAGAGCAATTTGCAGAGGACAGGGTTTCAGTGTCCCATACAATTGGATCTACTATTTTACAGGGGAAGGGAAAATGTGTGTTCTGGTGGTTGTTGGGGTCTCCACATCAGACACAAAGAGGTAAAGTCTCTTCTTCATTGGGGAGTAAAGCCATGATGAAGATATGAGTAGGGGAGGACACTAAGGGTAAGGTTATGGAGGCCTTCAAGATACATAATCTATCCGTTCCCAGCCTTCAAGATATATAATCTATCTGTTCCCAGCAAGAGGACTGGACACTGAGGCATAACGAAAAAATGGTGTGAAAATGAGAACTCAGATAAGGAACAAGTGAGGGGAGGAGTTCTGCATGGGATGATGGTTTGACCCCCTCCCTACCCCCAAAATAGGAGATTTGGAGGGATAGGTAGTTCCCCAAAACTCTCTCAGAACCAAGAATGTGGCCCCAGTGTCTACCAAAAAGTTTATGGGATGCCCATCCACTCAGATAACCACCCTGGGTTCCTGCTTGGTGATTGAATAGGTTGGGACAGAAGACCCAGAACCCTGTCAATCCTCTGCTGCTAGTCCAAGCAAGTCACTGGTGGGGTGACTGACCTCAGCTCCCCTCCGAGAATTGGGGCAGTCTGATCCCCAGTGGCCAGGATCTGGGGCATGGTATGGCTGGTGCCTTGGGGTTAGGGCAAGCCTTAGCCCAATGTCCTTCATTACCACACTTAAAACAGGGCCCAGGGGGTCCTCATTGTGGGAGTTGTTGTCTCCCCCTTTCCATAGGTTGGAAGGAGCCCTGTGACACCTGAGCCAACACCTGGAATTTTTGGCATTTTGCTCTTTCATCTCTGCTATGGTAGACCTTGAAGGCCATAGCCAAGACCTCGGTCTGAGGAGTCAAGTGTTCCCTCTCTAATTTTTTTTAGCTTTTCCTGGATGTTGGGGTAGCTTTGTGAGAAAGAATAGGTCATAAGAAGTTTCCTCCCATCCGAGGATTCAGGGTCCAAATTAGTGTACTGAAGGAGAGCCTTTGTTAGTCGGTCTAGGAAGGCTGAGGGGTTTTCATTCTTCTCGTGGATGACTTCCTGGAGTTTATCAAAGTTAATAGCCTTTTGTGCTGCCTCCTTTAGGCCAGCTATGAGACAGGTAATAAGGTGGTCCCTGTATGCCAGGTCTTGAGGGTCATTATAATCCCAATGGGGGACTTGGTCTGGAACCACCTGGGCTCCTAGGGGATGGTAGGCATCAGTCTGATAAACCTAGTCTGCATAGGCCCTAGCCTGGTCTCAGACCCTTCTCCTTTCCTCAGGGAGGAGAGTATTGGACAGAATCATATAGAGATCATGAAAGGTGAGGCTATAGGCTTGAGTTAATTATTGAAACTCTTTAATATAAGAGACAGCGTTTGCAGTGTAAGATCCCAATTTTTTTCTACTTGAGAAAGGTCAAGCATAGAAAAAGGAATATAAACCCTTAAAATCCCATCCAGCCGGGTGACTTCTCAAAGGGGGGCCATAGCATGTGAAGTTTGAGTCGGGTGATGAGATGTGGTGACTTGTGGGTTAGGTGCTGTATTAGTGCATGAATGGATAGCTGAATGGGTGGCGGGTGGACTAAACTGAGGTGGAGGGACCAGAAAGAAGAAAAGGAAGTGGGAGGAGTTTGTGTGGAAGTGTCGGGTGGAAGAGGAGAGGGAGTGTCTGCAGAAGAAGCCACCGATGTAGAAGATGGGGAAGTGGGAGGGGGTGAAAGTGGGGAAAGTGGGGATGAGGGTGGGGGAGAGTGGTATGGAAGCGGTTCTTCAGCTGGGTCAAAGGTGGAGGCAGAGAGCAGAGAAGAGGAAGAAGGAGGAGAAGGTGTGGAGGCACAGAGTAAAGAAGAAGAGGAGGAAGGAGGTTTGAGAGCAAGGAGTAGCTGTTGAGGCTTGCATTGGGTGCAGAGATTTGGATGAGATCGAAGCAAGGAAAAAGCCTCCACATAGGTAATCTTGTTCCACTTCTTTGATAGCTCACAGTAATTAAAATGATCCTAGAGTAAATTGGGATCCAGAGACCAACAAGTGGGTTAAACATTTTCGTTGTCTAGGGGGTATGTAGGCCAATCCTGGGTACAGAATTTTATGAGCCTTTTTGGTTTAATATCAGGGCCCAGGCTCAGGGTATTCAAATTATGTAAGAGGCACTGCAAGGAAATAGACAGAGATGAGAAATTTCCCATGCTGGAAGGGTGAGATGGGAGTCAGAGAAAGAGTAAGAGAGAAGGAGAGAGAGAGAAAAGCTGGGCTGTAAAGAGCTTCCTGGAAGCTCCAAAGTGGATGGAGGGACAAGTGGGCATCCCAAAAATGGCCGACCACTGCAAGGAAATAGACAGAGGGCACTGCCTGGTTGTCACAGGGGAGTGAGATCTGTGAGAGCCAAATAGGGCTGGGGCTGCAGGCAACCTGACATCAGGAGGGTTTTTCAAGTGGAACGAAAAAGTCAGAAAGAAAATGTTGGAATGGAGTTCAGGGGGAACGGAGTTCTTGGGGGAACGGAGTCAGAACTCAGGTGAGATGGACTGTAGCAACTGTGCTAACCCGTCCATGAAAGCCAAGAGTGGGGGGAGATGAAGGAATTAGAAAGGGAGAATTAATCCTATGTCCCAGGTGGTTGATTCCCAGGGTATCCTAGCAGAGCACCTGGGGTCCACTGTGACCCTGATGGGTCTGGGTGGGGTATATTCCCCCCTTAAAACACCCAGAGGGATTTCCGGACACTCAACGACAAATTCCCTCATTCTGGTGAGTTAGGGTTCAGGCATTCATGGGATGGGGGTACTCAGCAATCCGCAGGCTGGTGGTGGATGTCAGGCAGGTGATCAGAGAAGTGGACTGTGACAGGAATAGTTGGGCTTGGAGTTTGGGAACAGGGTTCCTCCTTGAGCAATGGGGATCCCTGTCCCGGGTTTCAGCACCAATTTAGGAATGGCAGGAAAAACTCAGTAAACTCAACAAGCCGAAACAACCGTTTACCTGTCTGAGATTTTATTAGTGGGACCATATCAGACAGTTGCAGAGGAGAAGGATGTCAAGAGAGAGGTTGGGGGGGGGGGGGGGGGGGTGAGAGAGAGAGAGAGAGAGAGGAGGGGAGAAGGGGAGAGGGAGAGAGAGAGAGAGCGAGCACAAACAGGGTATTGATATTTATGGGCTCAAAGTGGGATGAGGAGAAACAGGGCATTGGCCCAGAGCTCACGCCACTTCAGGGATTGGAGGTGCACCATTCAAAGTTCACGCCATTCACAGGGATTGGAGATGATGATTCTTGCCCCATTCAGTGCGTCACGGACCTGAGCTCCCGGAAGAGACGTGCTCTGGGTGACATCTTTTCCAACAGAAAAGTGAGAAGAGAGTGCCACTGTGGTCACTTCATACCATTTTATTATAATATTGACTTATTAGAAGATAGCAAATGCTCTGTAATTTTTAAAAATTTGTTGACTGAGTAAATGAACACATGCCATATGCAGAAAAGCTGAAGATGTAGTGACAGGAAATGAAACTACATCTCCAAAACTACAACTAAGAAATTCAGTAGGTGTGATCCTGAGAGTCTAAAATCTGGAGGGGTACTACATACCAGGATCAGGAAGATTCCAGGGAAAATCAGGGACAGAACCCCATGACTGGTTGGTGAAACACTCTGAATCCTCCCACTCTGCTTGTTGACCAGATGATAAAAGAGCCTGTCCTCAGCTCTGTGAAAGACAGACAAGTACATGGGGTATAAAGAAGGATCACAGTTCTAAGGTTGAACACACAACGGAGAGTCACCAAGTGTTTCAAGAAGGTATGCCCCATGGGGAGTGGGAAGAATTAAATGGTAACTGAATGATGATAAATAATAAATATATATCAGAATAAAATGATGCAGAGATTAACAGAACTCCTGAGCAAGGAGACACTCAAAGTTTTGAAGCATTTTTATTTCAGAATTGCTAAGGGAATCAATTTCAAAGATTCATACTACAGAAATGAAACATAAAGTATATGAGGTAATATGATAATTAACTTGATTTAGTCATCCCAAATGTATACATATCAAAGAATTACATTTTACCCCATAAATACATATAATAAATGTTAAGAAAATATAAAATTAAGTGGACCATGTTTTAATTCATAATTTGGGCTTGAACCAGAAGGCTGGGACTTCTTCTTAAAACTAGGACCTCTAAAAGGCAAGATCCCTGAAAGTGATGTAGAAAAATAACTTCTCCTACAGAGTATTTGTGGGGATGGTTCTGTTCTTGCCTTTACCTCCATTCAGAATCAAGGACAAAATCAAAATCAAAAATATCTCCAGTGAATTTTTGAATAGTAAATTGAGACCAGCTTTTTAAGAATGCCAACTATATTTTCAAGGTGTGACCTTAGATTCATAAACTAGGTTTTGTAAGGAGTCTTTAGTTGGGAGGCACCTGGCCAACCAAAAATTTTACTTGGTTCTAAGTACTGATGTAGTTTATGTTCTCTTCTCCAGGCTGAGAGCTTTCCACCATCATCATCTGTCTGTTCCCTAACACTGACAGACTGATGTCTAGGAAACATGAACTCACAACAATAAAATCAAAACACATGATGAAATGAACTACCCTGAAGAAGAACCAGTGCAAGTAAACTACAGGGTGAGACCAAAATACATGTAAGTGTCAAAGATAGAGTATTAAATGCTTTATATATTTAAAAATTAAAAGATAGAAAAAATGGAGAGAATATTTTATTTTATTTTTGGTACCGGGGAATTGAACCCAGAGGTGCTTTTCCATTGAGTCACACCCTTTTAAAAATTTTTAAATTTTGAGTGAGGATCTCATTAAATTATTTAGAACCTTGGTAATTGCTGAGGCTGGCTTTGAACTTGTGATCCTCCTGCTTCAGCCACCTGAGCTCCTGGGACTACAGGCCTTCACACTTTTATAGGATTACACACCTGGCTAAAGAAAATGATTGTTTCATGGAAAGTTTTTAGGCACATACTGAAGTTTTTAATTACTATTTAAATAATTTTAGGTAAACATTGCATTAAATAAGGGAACTATAATATAACAAAAATCCAGTGTATTAAACTAAAAATAATTTCCCATAAATTAGTTACATTAAAATTTTCAGTATCATTTGGATCCAAATTCTGTAAAATCAAGTCAAATTCTTCTTTTTTCTTTATATTTTTTTACATTTATTGAATACTTCAAAGAAATTACTGTCCATTTTGATTTAAAAAGATATGATGTTTTATGGCAGATTCACTTATAAATATGCTTGGTAGGAATGGATTGATTGCACTTGCTCCTAGCAGCTGACATAAAACCATATCACAGCCCCAAATCCAGTATTTTCTTCCCATGAAGAGACAGTGACCACAAAGACCACATGAGGAAAATCACATGCTTCATTAGAAACAGGAGCCTTCCCAGGAGCAGCTCCTCAGACAGAAAGGAGTCTGTTCTCCAGGAATACGCCCACAGTTAGCAGGAAACTGGTTTTCTCAAAGAGAGAGGAAGGGACAGGAGAACAGGAAGGAAACAACAGACAGAAATAAGTACATCAAAATCTCAAAACAATGCAAGACAATTTATATGGGCAGTTTTAGAACCTCCTAGTTGATTATTTGAAATACCAAATACATATTTCTTGGCAACAGCATTCTTCTGTTTTCCTATTTTATTATAAAGCAGGGAGTCTCTAACTTAGGGAGTCTAGCTTTGGCATGTTTTTTATGTTGTTTTAATTCTCCTCAATCAAAATGCTCCAATTACCAAACATTCATTCCAAGAGAGTAAATATGAAAAGAAATTCTCATGCAACCTTTTTCTTGTCCTGAATATTCAACAGTTGTTATAAATTTATTGGCCAAATGTGATAGCACAGTTGTTAAATTATTTTAAGTATTTAAAGTCTTGTTGTCATTTAGAAAAATGTCCCTCTACATAAATGACTACCTGAACTCTTCCGTGTCTTTCCTGGTCTTTAAAAACATTGTGTAGCAATTTTCCAATATTTCTACAATAATACAAGAGAAAAGGAATTAAATAATTTTCCCCTCAGTTTTCACTGGATAAAATTGAGGTATTGCAGGGCAAAAATTGTGTCTAAAGTTACAAAATAGATTATTTATTCACACAAGAAATATATGTTGCTCTATGAGGTAGCATCTAGACACAACATTTATCGAATGAAACTATGATTTTTAGAATTAATATTGGTTATGGTTAGATATGAGGTGAACTCCAAAATTGCATATGTGAGACAATACATGGACATTCACAGGTGAAATGAGAAATGATCACTGTTTGAGGGTTGTAACCTAATCAGTGGAGTGATTAAGGTGTGGCTGGAGGAAGTAAGTTACTGGGACCATGCCTTTGGGGTTTATATTTTGTCCCTGGGAGAGAAGCTTTCTCTCTCTCTCTCTCTCTCTCTCTCTCTCTCTCTCTCTCTCTCCTTCCTGCTGTCAAGTCCCAAGTTCCTTCTACCA